TACATTTTGGTTGACATTTTTCAGAGTCCCAACATGCATCTCCTGACCAAGTTTTGATTTTAGGTCTGAAGGTAATCAAAATATGCCTTTTAAACAATTTGAAAGCATATGCCTGCAAAATTCTAAAAAGTAGGTCACAGTGACCTAGTTTTTCTTAAATATGTTTTAAGGTCCCAAGATGCAGCAGCTTACAAGATTTGATGATTTTAACCCTTTCAGTGCCTGAAATAATGGGATTAAATGTTTTAAAAAGGATAAGTCATAAAGTTCAAAAAGTAGGTCACGGTGACATACTTTTAAGTTGACGTTGTTTAAGGACCCAAGATGCATCAACTGACCAAGTTTGATGATCATAAGCCTTAAAGTGTCCAAAATATGCCTTCAAATCAATTTGAAAACAAATCCCCGCAAAATTAAAAAAGTAGGTCACCGTGACCTACTTTTGAGTTAACATGATGTGAAGTCCTAAGATGCATCAACTTACAAGATTTGATGATCCTAGTCCTTATAGTAAGCAAAATATAAACATTTTTATTAATTGTAAATTTAGGTCAACTTTAAAGTGACCTTGAGACCACGCCCTTTGCCCCAGGGTCATGCCTTGAACAATTTTTAATCTTCAGCATATCCTGATCCTTGTTTGTAAGTTTGGTGAAAATCTGCCTAGTTGTTCTGGAGAAGAAGATTTTTTAGCAACTAGTACTTTTGGTTTTGTTTTCCTGATTATCTCCCCTTGTTTTAGGGTCCCAACCCTTATTTTAGTATAAATGGTAGCCCTTGGGCCAAGGATACCCTGTGACAAATTTGGTACTGATTGGCCAAGGGGTTCTTGAGTTATGGCCCATATTCTAAAAAGTTAACGCACACCGCACACCGCACAAATGGCCATAGGATTAGCTCTTTGAGCCTTTGACTCAGAAGAGCTAATAATGGACTAACGATTGGTATGAAAAATTTCAGTCAGCATTTGACTCAGTGATAAATAGTATATGCTGACAAGGTCATTGTATCGACCATATAAATTACGAAATGATGACTTTAAACGAAACTGCTGATATATTCTTTTTTCATCAACTTGCTTGTCAATAATTTACTTCTTTTAAGAAATTGTTCATACGTAGAGCATGCTCTTGAGTATCAAATCAACTGAGATATATATACTCCGTATGCAGGCGATGAAGGTATATTGCTGCATAAGTAAGGGAAGTTGACGATAGAAAAGTTAAATTCATCACGTTTATCATATAGCTTGGTTGTTAGATTACCATTAGTATCTTTTTCAAGTAAAATATCTAAGTATGAAACAAAAGTGTCGGACTCTGTGGTATCTTTTATCTCAAGCTCAAGAGACGAGACAATTCTGGCTATTCGAAGCTTGTTTTTGGCTAAGGTCAAGATCTAGTACATGAAAGGTGCCAAAACATTTATCAAATTTAAAAAAAAATTCCTTCAATAATTCTTTATAACTTTAGCTTGGTTTAACTTTTATACTTCTGTTCGAAATTTTTAAAAGAAGGTAAAATGATAATTCACACAAGTTTCAAGATAAATTAATTTTTTTCTTTGTGGAACACTCTTTCATTAAAAATTCCATATAGATCTGCCACATAAATCACATTCATAATGGACCTCTTTTGTTTTTGTTTTTTTTTTTTTTTGCTGATGAGATGTATTGAAATATGTTTCAAATGTGTCTTGAATTACTGACAATGTAATTCCAATATCATATCACGACACTTGTTTTGATACATGAAGCACAGCCCAAATTATTAATCCTTACTAAAACAATTACGGTACATGTATACATATACATACTTTTAGAATTCATGAATAAAAGATGCTTTTATGCTTCCCAATTAATCTCGACATTAATCATGTTAATTCCTGTTCAATTTTCTTTTAAATCATTGTTACCTTTTAAATGTTAACCTCTGATGAGTTATGAAAATAAAATATGAGACAGTTCTCTATAGCATTAAATTAAAAAAAAAAGAATGAGGGCGGCGAAGGTGAGGATAGTCCCTGCATCTGACATTTCAAAAAAAAGTAGTTTTTTTTTAAATTAAAATTACACTATTCAAGGTCAAAACAATATAAAATTGGAGCAAAGCTTAAAAATTGTATGGTTGGCGTTGGTGGAACAACGTCGGGCCAACGTTGGACCAATGTTACCATATCAACCTTCTCGACCATGACAGAATTCCTATGTTGGCTCAGCGTTGGTCCAACGTAAGCAACTTCCATTCACTTTACTTTTCAAGGAAGGAAGGATGCTGATATCGGCCCAGCGTTGGCCCAATGTTTGTAATACACCCTTAAAGAAAGTGTCTGTTCAAATTGGTAGTAGTATGTTGGCCCAACGTTGGCCCGATGTTTGTAATACACCCTTAAAGAATGTGTCCTATCAAGTTGTTAGTAGTATGTTGGCCCAGCGTTGGCCCAATGTTTGTAATACACCCTTACAGAAAGTGTCTTATCAAGTTGGTAGTAGTATGTTGGCCCAACGTTAGTCCAATGATTGTAATACATCTTTAAAGAAAGTGCCTCATCAAAGTGGTAGTAGTATGTTGGCCCAATGTTTATAATACACCCTTAAAGAAAATATCTTATGAAGTTGGTAATAGAATGTTGGACCAACGTTGGTCCGATGTTAGCAAGAATGTTATTTTGTTTAGGTGTTTCAAAGATGGGATATTTATATTGGACCAACGTTGGTCCAATTATTATACTGCCAACTAAATGATGGTGTCAATTTTATAATTAGCTGCTGAGCTTTACGTTTGGACAACGTTGGTTCCAAATATTAATTTAGATGCACATTCTGAAATAATTAAGAGGACATGCTATGTCCATGCATGGACCTCCAAAATATGAGAGACCTGATCAGATACCATGGAGGAGTAAGCATCCCCTGTCGACCGGTCATTGAGTATCTTGTGGAAATTACATGAAAGATTCAAAGATGGAAAATGAACATTAAATCATACTTAAACTTTCAAGTACATGCTAGTGAGTATCTTACTGAAATTCAATGATCGATTCAATGATGGAAAATAAACATTCAATTAAACTTAAATTTTAAAAACCGAGTCTGATTCTATTTTATAAGAAAATGAATACTTCTTTTAAAAACATGTTTCTAAAGACTCGCTGATTGAAAGAAAGGCCGCAGTGCTTAACGGTTAAATTCACAAGTTGCCTAACAGTTATTTCTGTACCGCCAACCGTAGGCCCAAATTAATCAATTAGCAAAGTAGGTGAGTTTAAGTGGTGTGGTTGTATCCTAAAAAAGCGTTTTCAGTATGCAATTCTAAAAAGGTCGTCATGACCTACTTTTTGGGTGAACTCTCTAAGGACCCAAGAAGTATGGAATGACAAAGTTTGATGATTCCAAGTATCTTGTAATCCAAATTAATTGAATACAAATATCAAAAGTATTAGTTTTCCACTGTTACTCGCTTTTGGATTGACATGCTTTGAGAATCCAAAGTGCATAAACTGACAAACATTTTAGTAAATATTTGTTTTGCAAACGACGTTCGATCCTGATATATAAAGTCTTAAACTTTTTTTGCAAAGTATATTTTTAGTTTCTACATGCATAGCTTAATTAAAATTCAAATAAAAATGGGGGTCCATATGCTTCTTTTGGCGCTGCAGTATATTTAATATGACCTTTTTGCACTGAAACCTGTGTCTTAATTAATAATCAGATTTTCGACATTTCTTTCAAATATATTTTTATCCAATTAAGGTCAAGATCTAGTAAATAACTTGAGACTAATTTTTTGGTGCTAGATCCATTATGACGTCATAATCAATTTCAACTTTCTTTTTCCCGTACTTTACGACTTTAGCAGAATTATGTAGAAAATGGGATATTTTCATGTCATTCAATTTGAAATCATATGAAAAGTAAACCGGATACCTATCTTAAATTTGAAATTGATTTAAAGAAGAGGCCATGAACATACTAATTACCGTTTTCTGAAAGACTGTAGGCAATCTGGATACATTTCCTTCGCCGAATACGAAACAAAATCCCAAATTCATAACTGGTTTTCTTAATTTTTCATTGAAAATGATAGTTTAAAATACAGTTTTTCATCTTGTTTGCCTAGAAATTATGCCCCGAAACACCTTATTTGACCAAGCTAAAATTGTAAAGCATCAATAAAGGAATTTATTTCTGAAGTTTGATAATTCTGTAGGCACCTTTCATTTATTAGATCTTGACCTTAAAGTATGAAACAAAATGAACTCTAAGTCAGTTTGAAAAAAGACACTTTAAAATTGTGACTAAGAAAAAGTTTCAAATTGCTTCGCCTTATCAATAATTTGACCTTTCTGAAGTCATAAAATGTGATTTTTCTGGCATTGAAAATTCAATAAGCAAGAAAATTATTGTAAAGTCTTTATAACTTTTTCTGATTTTAAGCAAATAGGTCAAAGTTATGATGAATAATTAGGAAAGAACATCAAAAGTAGGGGTATATGATGTAAATTTTCCGTATTACTAAAAAAATGTCAATTTTACGTTAAAATTGGCTCAATTTTTTCCCGGATTTTCAACATATATTTCCTTTATTTGTCTCACTTTGTTAATAGAATTCATAAGACATAATTAAATAGATATTTCAGAACCAGTATAACACATTTCAATGCAAAAAACAGCTTTGTGTGCAACCAGCATGGAAAAATAGAAATCCAAAATTAACAGTACTGTTATTGTTCAAAGGGGAAAAACTGATCATTTTCGTCTAAAAAAAAACCTTCCGCCACAGAATATAGTCCATAGCGTAATTTTACTTCAATGGAATTTAATCGCGGTTTTTTCATTGTATATATTTCAATTTGCATTGTAGAATTCAGATTTAATTTTACAACTTAAAAATGAAGCAGAATTTTATAAATAAAGGACATGACCAAAATCCACTCAAAATCTAAGGATTGAACGTCCTCAAGAAAGCCTTAAAATTTCAATAGGAGGTCACCACGACAAAATTTTATCATTTATTTCATGAATATCAAACTGTAAGAATTACAGCAACAACTTTATCATAATATTTACAAGTAAATGAAAGTAGACAAAATTACTCACATATGCAATTCAGAAGAAATTAAAATCAACTAGAAAACTGACTAGTCAGCAAGGGCCCCGCCATGGGGTAGAATTATAAGGGTGCAGCTTATGGAATGATAAAAAAATATTTAAAGAATATGCGACAGCAACTGTATTCTTAAAATTTCAAGATATTTCATGAATATCCAAAAAGGTGTAAATAATATTCTTGTATTTACATTAGGCAGTAAAGAACAACTTAACATTGAATGTATATTTAAACAATACATGTAATGAAGCTTTTGTTATATAAAATGCCAGTCTTCAATGAATGCAAATATCAAGGGTTTGACCTTAACTTAAAAACAAACAGGTTGTAGACAAAGGTTTTCATTAATCTTGAACTGACAGATAAATGAACATACTAAATTTTCTGCAGCAGGCTAGATAATTAATTCCAAGGGATTAATTGTGCCTCTCTCATCATTTTCTTCTAAAGTTACAAAAAGAATGTTTTCATTATTGATGATAGAATAGGGTTTTTAACCAACTATGTTAAAAATTAATAATATTCTTGAATTTACATACAGGAAAAACAGTAAAAATAAAAAAAAAAACAAATCTTTTTTAAATCTATTTCTTGTTTTTAAATTCAATGAAAGCATACTCAATGTGTAGGATATTTTAACAAAAATAAAGTAAAAACATTTATATTTAAATCCACATTTCAGAGTTTCATAGCATTCCAAATTGACTTTTCAAAACAAACATCATTTGCAGACAGAGGTGGTAATGAATCTCAATGTGACAGATAAATATAATGCTTTAAATTTTCTTTAGGAGGAAAGCTAATTAATCCCAAGGGACTCATAGCAGCATTCAGTTTACAATGGGAACATTTTCAGCAGCTATCTCTCTTTGCCAATGCATTCTTATATAAAGTTTAGGAATATACCCCACCACACCAGCTCCAAACCAGGGAATATAGAGAAACAAACTTAGCATCAAATATGTCTTTCTGTCTATTGAACTACCATACCAAATTTGATCTTAATTGGGCAACCATAAAAAAAGTTATTAAGAAAAAACAAAAAGATTGTGGACGGAAGAATGACAGACGGACAGACAGACAGATGGACAGACAGATGAATACTATAGGACACCCGCAAATTCTTGCAGGGCCCTAAAAACCTAATTTCTATGGATTCATTTTATCAAGAAAATTCATGCATAAAATTTAATCAAAAGGCGACTCCTTTTTCTCTAAAGTCAAATTGATCTCATAAGGGCATATCACTGTTATTATTACAATAATAATCAGGCATGCTTATATCTTTTCCCTCCAAAATTCACCTGATTTCAACTTCTTCTCTGAACCCGTGCTTCACTATTATTTTTTATTTCTTTAACAATTTTAATGACTTCTCTTTAAAAAAAACTTTAAAATTTGATATCGCCGTCCCACTTTTCTCAAATGTGGCTTCTTGTTCCTTTGTATATGTTCTTCATAAGGATGTATACGTGTGTTTGAAAGTAACCCTTTTCCACACACATCACCAATATATTCTTCTCCTTTATATATTTCCTAGTGTCTCCGTATAATCCCTGGATGCACTCCAACACACATTACGTATGATGTAGTTGTTTATTAAATGCATCATTTTTCTTCCAAATTTTCATGATTCTTCATGTTTAGTTTCAAGTGTTCTTTGTTCAATCAATGTCTTTCCAATTATATATTTGACTTAAATTCTATCTCTCATTCTCTCCTTAAAAGAATGTTTCCCCTTTGTCTCTATAAGCTAAGAATGTAATTAGTAAAATGTTTAGGAAATGCTTTCTCAGCCACATCAAATTGATAGAATTTCTCACTTCTCTATCTCTTCAACTGACAGTGTTCTGGTCAGTTCTTTTTTTCCTGTATGTGTCTTCTTGTGTTTCTGTAAGACATACAATCGATCAAATCTCTTTTCACACACATCACATTTATGAGGTTTTTCACCTGTATGTGTCCTCATGTGTCTCTTTAAGGAACTTGCTCGGTTGAATGCTTTTCTACAAAGAACACATTTATGATGTTTTTCACCAGTATGTATTATCTTGTGTAAACTTAACTGACCTGGTCGACTGAAAGTCTTGCCACATGTAAAACATTGATGAGGTTTTTCACCGGTATGTATCCTAATATGTAGCTTAAGTTTATTCGACTTAACAAATGCTTTCCCACAAACATCACATTTATGAGGTCGTTCACCTGTATGTGTCTTCATGTGTTGATGTAAGGCATATAATTCTACAAATGCTTTCCCACACATATCACAGAGAAAAGGCTTTTCACCTGTATGTGTCTTTCTGTGTTTCTTTAAGGAATGGAAAGATGTGTACTTCTTTCCACACAAATGACATCTATAATGTCTATGACCTAGGCCAATTTTTCTGAATCTCCTTAATTGCCCTGATTGGTTGAATACTTTCCCGCATACATCATAGCTATAGGCTTTATTATCTTTATTATCTCTAGGTGTCCTTGTGTGTCTTTGAAATGTTGTTTTACAACTGCGGGCTTTCTCACACACTTGACATTTATAACCTTTCTTGTGTATGTGTGTTTTCATGTGTCTCTCCACACAAGTGTCAATCTTTCCATGAACTTTGGATGTACACAACTTTCGTCCATTAGGAATTCTTCCTGACTTGTTTAACTGTCCAATTTTAGGATTTTTCTTTACCTTAAATGGGCTATTACATTTAAGTTTTATTTCATGTTCTTCTAATTTAAAATTTTCATTGAAAGGCTCCAGACACATGTTACAGTTATGAATTTTCTCATGTGTGTGTGTCCTCATGTGTTCCTCCATACAAGGGACTATTTTCCCGCACAACTCACAGAGACAGGATTCTCTTATTGGTCCAACAAATTGCTCAATTTGATTATTCACCATCATGCACATATCAACAAATGGGTTCTTACACTGATGTGTTTTCTTGTGTCTTTCTAATTGAATTTCTTCAATGAAGGCCATCTGACATACATCACATTTTAAAAGCTGCTCACATACTTGTCTGTCCATGTGCTTCTGTGAATAATGTTTTTGAACAAAGAACTTTCGGCTTTTATCACAGTTGAAAGAGTTTTTACTAGTATCCACCATCAGGTGTTTGTTCAAACATTCTTTTTCAGCAGATGTTACAAGACTTTTACCAGTATGCGTCCTCATATGTCCCATCAAATGCCCTCTTTCACAAAATGCTTTTCCACACAATTCACATTTATAAGGTTTCTCACTTGTATGTATCTTCTTGTGTCTCTGTAAATTTACTGAATTACTAAATAATTTCCTACAAACATTACAATGATACAGGGCTCTTCCCTGACATTTGCTTGTTCTCTGTGTGTTATTTGACTGCCCGTCTGTCTCATTATAGTTCAAAAGTTTCTCAACTGTATGTGACCCTGGGTCTTCCAAAGAGTCTGAAGTTTTATGAGAACTCTTTAGTTTTTCACATTTGTGTGTCATCAAATGTATCTTTAAATCTGATTTTTCTGTGATTTTCCTCAGACACACAAAACCCTCATAATTTTTGTCACCAGCATTTATCTTCAGATGGCTTTGTATTTGCTCTAATGTAGAAAATCCTCTTCCACAAATTTCACATTTATTTGGTTTTTCAACAGTGTGTCTCCTCATATGATGCCGTAAGTTATATAGTCGGATGAAAGCTTTTCCGCAAACTTCACATTTATGTGGTTTATCACTTGTATGAATCTTCATGTGTCTTTGTTGACTTCCTGGAAATTTAAAAAGCATACCACAGACAATACATTTATATGGTTTATCATCTGTATGTGTCCTCAGGTGACCTTGTAAGTAGGGTTTCCTCATGAAAGCCTTCCCACACACATTGCATTTATATGGTTTATCACCTGTATGCGTCCTCATGTGTCTTTGTTGACTTCCTGGAGATTTAAAAAGCATCCCACAGACAACACATTTATATGGTTTATCATCTGTATGTGACCTCAGGTGACTCTGTAAGGAGGATTTCCTAGTAAAAGCCCTCCCACATACATCACATTTATAAGGTTTAACACCTGTGTGTATCCTCATGTGACTTTTTAGAGAATCTGAGGCTGTGAATGTCTTTCCACACACATCACATTGATAATGTTTTTCCCCTGTATGTACCCTCATGTGTCTCTGTATGCAATCAGAGCGACTCAGTGTTTTCCCACAAATGCTACATTTAATTGTCTTTTTCCTTCGATGAGTGTTGATCTGCTTCTTTAATTTCTTTCCGCTACCATCATTATCACAATATTTGTTTATTTTTTCGCTTTTACTTTTAATGTGCGGTAACTTTTCAGCATTATATTTATTGAGTGATCTGGATGAAAGAGTATCCTTTTCCCCCTGAAAAAAGTAATGAAATCACTTCTTAAGTTTTATAATCCATACATTGACCTTGTCAGCAAATAAAATATTTAATCAATGATTATTAAGTCAAATTCGTACTGAAGTTTTTTTATACTGCTTGCTTTGCCATTATTCAAACACTGAATTGAGGTATATTTTTCTGTTGTTTTTTTTTCGATCATTACATGGCGCACATGGCAGTAATTTGACCACTTGGCATGGAGAAACTCAGGATTCTTAGTACCAAGTTTGGTCAAAATTGACCCAGTGGTTCTTGACAAGAAGTCAAAAATGTGAAAAGTTTACAGAAGGACAGCTAGACGGACGGACAGACAGACGGACGACGGACAAATTGTGATCAGGAAAGCTCACTTGAGCCTTCGGCTCAGGTGAACTAAAAACTTGTTTTATGATTTTACCGGTATGTTTATGTCAACCATTTGACATGAATGAACCAGCAGTGAGCAAATCATCACCTTTTTTAGCCTGAGCAAATAAGCCACGCCCTCATATTTACCAGGTCTGTATACTCACCATCAACTACGTGCTCTATGATCCATCATCATGTGCTTGAATTTGATTGACATATAACTGTGTATAATTATAACTTGTACTTCTCCAAATAGGGCTTAAATTTTCTTGAACCCCCCCCCCCCCCAAAAAAAAGAAAAATATCTAGATATTCAACTTTTACAGTAGGTCAGATCTACCATCTGTATCATTACTGGTTATGTCAATGCCTAGATGCACCGTCCATGGTGTAGGAAAGACTTATAGTTACTTGGGAATTGGCTTGCTTCTAAACATTTATCTGGGATTCAGTTTAAAGCCAAAACCTGTGTCGACACCGGAGTATAGCATAAGCTCTGCTCATCTTAATCAAGGTTAGTATTTAATTTTGTTATACCCTTATAAGTAGCTTTCTATATATTTATTACTAATAAAAAGTCCAAAAAAAGAAATGTTTATTACATCAGTCTAACAATTTCACTGTTGACCGACCTGTTGGTCCAACATAAAAATTGTTAAACTGCAACGTCACTGCTAGTCACAAGTAATTAATCATGGGTTCAATATCGGCGAGACAGAAATAGTCAAAGTTAAGAGCTGTAAGAATTGTTGCTACCAGCAAGGTAAGGAAGAAAAGAAGAGTATGTTTTGTGAAAAATAATTTTTGTGATATAATAAAAATATAATTTAGGCCATAATAAAAATATTCCTAGATTCGCATCCCCGCCACGATTTTATACCCCCGCGTCAATTTTTTTTATTTCTGTTTTTCTTCATCTTATTTCTGAAATTCTGATCAGGATTGATATTCATCGACCATTCTACTTTCGTTTTAAATCCCGCAAAAGTCGACATGATTTTGACAGCTGAAAAGATGGTAATTGCTGTAATACATGCGTATATACGCATGTAAACAAGGGTCATTGGTTGAAAAAGATTGGTGATTATGTGAAGTAGGAGATTATTGAACCTTTACTATGACTTTTATTCGGGTATTGTAGATAAAATTACACTGACTGACCAAGTCAATAATAAACCTGCAAAATTGAAAAAATATAAAATAAAAGCCGTCCGCCTCGAATTTTAAAAAAAATTCGGATGAGAATCTAGCAATTTATTTATCATGGCCTTATTTCGTTCTTTCTAAGCTATTGTTTTATATTTACTGATTAAGCCATTATTTTCCATATAAAGTAATTGATAATAGTGTGTGTTGAAAAAAGCTTAAGTGAGCAGTGATGGGATTCGGGCAACATATGATATGTTGGACCTGAAGGTGAACATTGCCATCTTCAGGTCCCACAAATCATACTTTTCCCTCATACCCAGTCAATAACTGTATATAATTAACCTGATTATCTCCCCTTGTTTAGGGGTCACAACTGTGAGTTACCGGTAAATATAAATGGGAGCCCTTCAGATAGCGATGCTCTTTGATAAAATGGCAATAAATGGTTAAGGTTTCTTTAGTTATGACAAATATTCTAAAATTATGTGCTGTGCCACAGCATGATGCGCCGTCAAAAAATTACAATAATTTTTTTCTTAAACAGTTTAGAGTGCAAAAGAATCATGGAAAAATATCCATCCTCTTGGCCTGTGATGTAGGCACTTATAATAACAAACATAACATCATTGATAGATTTCTATGCTGGCTGTGCTAGACCTTGTCAAATGCCCATCAATAAATTAGTCTTAACACCTTAATCTATACTAAATTAATTTTAAAAATAAAAGGCTGGCCATATGCTATAAACTGGCCAAAAGTTCGTCTGTCTAATCCGCAAAAGTAACAGATAAGACTGCTTGATAGGAGATGCTCTAGGCAAATGATTGAGACAGCTAGCTCTCCTACATTGAACTCATTAATAATCTTTAACTGGATATTTGTCTACTCATTACTACCAAGACATAAATTGGTCTGCACTATCTACCATAAAGCATTTTTAAAACATATAAAATACTCAAAGATTTTTTATTTATTATATGCCAGACAGGTTTTAATTTGTAATTCATATTGATATGTTGATTCCATCCCACCCCATAAAACTAAAAATATTATATAAAATCAGATTAGTCTTTTATGCAATATCAAAATATCAAAGTATCAAAGTATCAAGTATCAAATTTGTTTATACTTTTCATCAAATTCATTTTAAAACTTGGGCTAGCCAACAAAAGCTATTTTTAATCCAAATGGCTGACCCATTTGCCCTCTTCCAAGGGATATAGACAACACCTGCTTGATTTCAGATGCTCTACCAGTTAGCTCCTCACATTAAATTCATCAATTTCTCTCTAATTTGACATGCAATTTTCTGTTATCAAAATTCTTCTTGACCAGTGATTGAAAATTACACTCATGGGAGAAGTGGGATTCCTCTAAAATACATTATATTTGTTATAGATTGCTGTCAAGTATATGCTTTAAAAATGAGTATTTTCTTGATTTAATTCTTTTTACATAAGGATAGTGCAATATTCTTACATTATTTTGGATGTGTATATTATAAGTAAAAAGACACATTTTCCCCAAATTTCACTTAAATTAAAGGTCACAGTGACCTTGAAATAGGTCATGACACACCTCCTACCTAAGATGCATAAACTGGCCAAGTTTTATGATTCTAAGTTTTATAGTTTTTTAGTTATGGTTCCGAAAGGATTTTTCCATATTTGGCTATAACTTCTTAAAGGACGGAGCAACCTACTTTTTGTGCACTACACACCGTCTACCCAAGATGCAACAGATGACAAAGTTTGATAATCCTAATAGTATTAAGTAAAACTGTACCATAGAATTGTATGTTCTAATCTCGGACAAAGAGAAAAATTAAAGAATGCGTGGGTTTAAAAATTCAATTCCAGATTATAAATATTGCATTGTGTCACAAGTGGCATTGTGTCAATGTTTTATATTAGCTTATTGTACAGGTATTGGCTAGAGTTGTCTTTATTTGGGCATTAGGAGTTATCGATTATTTCATTTACGCACTATTGGTCACTGGGTTGTATTTGTTCTATTTTTATCAACGTATACTCGTCGAACCCGTTTGAGTAGTTTGGTCAGTTATTTATACTAGGTGTTGGCTAGTGTTTGTCAGATGAGGTCTGGACGCTGCGAGTTATACTTTACCCATGCTTAGTAATCTTGGGTGTGCCTTTTATGTAACCCATGCAGTGTGAACTTGGGTGTGTTTTAGCTGTTTCCCCTGCTGTGTGATCTTGGGATTCAGGGATGTTTTGTAGCAGCGTTGAGAGCAAGACCTGGGGGCCGACAGTATATGGTTTCTATGTATAAGATGCCACAGCTCAGTGACCAAAATTGTATATCAAGCTTTTGTTCTGGACGGGAGGATTGGTGTATGTGTGAAGCTACTTCCCAGCAGGCACGCAACGTTGTTTCAACGTTGTTTCAACATTGAAAGGAGGTGGAATATAGGTTGCAACGTTGATCAACTATATTTCAACGTTGTTTCAACGTTGAGGTTTCAACGTTGAATCCTCAACCTTTTTTCAACGTTGAAACAACGTTGAAGCTGCAACATATTTTCAACGTTGAATGTTCATCGATATTTCAACGTTGAAACAACGTTGAAGCTGCAACATATTTTCAACGTTGAATGTTCGTTGATATTTCAACGTTGAAACAACGTTGAAGCTGCAACATATTCTCAACGTTTGATGTTCGTTGATATTTCAACGTTGAAACTGCAACATATTTTCAACGTTGAATGCTTGTCGATATTCAACGTTGAAACAACGTTGAAGCTGCAAAAAATTCTCAACGTTTGAAGTTTATTTATATTTCAATGTTGAAACAACGTTGAAGATTCAACAAGTTTTCAACATTGAGTATTTTCTGATATTATAGAATTGAAACAAGGTTTAAAAATGCAAAGTTGACTGTTTGTTGATTTCAACATTGAAACAACGTGGAATATCCAATATATTTTCAACTTGAGGAAAGTTAGGAAAACAACAGGTAATGAGTATTGAGCTCTTTAGTTTTTTAGGTCAAAATATAACTCTTAATTTATGCGATTTTTCACAAGATACATACAGCTTTGCGCATTGTTAGAAAATATTTTTTATATAATTATACACTGTAGATGAAACGCATGCATTATGAATTGATTTACTTAAAAGAGTTGTGCCAGTTCAGCTAGTACCATTGTAAACTTTAATAAATTGTGAATGCATTTTTTTTTTTTTACATATTTATAAAACAAGTTAAATATAAGCTTTTAATAAATAATGACATCTTTATCCAACATCTCACTGTAATTCCATGTTATTTTAGAATTAATGAAAATAATTATTTATTCCAAATTAATGTTCTTAAAATTAGACTCATGTAGATCCATCCGTATACTCTTGCGCAAAATGTTATACAGAGCGAAGCTAAGAAGTCTTATTCTATCAGATTGTGCTTTTGTTATGTGTATCAATTCTACAATCTTTTTTCACAAAATATATAAAAAAGAAAAATTCAAATAAACACATACAAATTTTCACACTGACAATTAACCCCGGTCAAATAGCATTATTTAAGATCCACTCCCAAAAACCTTCGAGATATCAGATAAGGAGTGCCTCTTGCTTAGTTGGTCAGTTTCAGTGTCATGATAACCTTGTTATGCAATTTTCTTGCTGGGCAGAGTATAGCTGCAGCTTATCTAGGTCAAAATTTGAATTCAACTGATGGACAATAAGTGCGCGTTCATATTTAATGTGTTTTCAAGCTACATACACAAAGATAAAGGCTGGAATATCAACTTCTGCACAGTAAGTATTATTTCCTTTTCATGGATTTAAGAAATCAAGTTTATTTAGTATCTGTGCATCATTGAATTCTTGTTTTATACGTATACTTGAAATCTACGTGAAATGCACATCCTTTGTTCGTGTATTATGTGTATTGTTGATATTCATTTGGTTATAAAATATAAGTATACTAATATATTATACAATTTAATTAATTGTAGTTCTTGGTATGGATCAATCAACCAATGGTGCAGGGAATTGATTGTATATAGTCAGCCTTGATTGCATCACATTCTTCGCCCGTGAAAATTATACAAAGGAATGCAACATTTTGTAAGTACACTATGTCTATGTATGTCTATGACATTTTCTTTAGTAATAATTATTTATAAGCATACTAATACGAACTTTAATATGAAGTTAACTATAATTCTTTCCAATCATCTTAATTAAATCCAAGTACCGGAAAATATTCCTTTGTCTGATTTTTTAAAATTATTCATGTATATTTATTTTTATCGTTTGAAATAATGTGTTACGTACATTTTATCGAACAAATGGCTTTAACATCTTTATTTCTTTTATCAATTTTTATAGGCTTTTGCTTTAGAGGGTGGATTCTCCTGTTCATTTCTTTCATTCGTGGGACTTAACTATATGCGTGATTAAAATAAATGGATCCGCCACTTTGTGGAACTTAGTAGTGTAAGGCAGACGCGTACTTTGAAGGACCTGGATGTGATAACTGTGACCCACTTTTCAATAGGAATATAAATTTTGTCAAGCAGTGATTTTTGAGATTCAGTGATTGAATCCAAATTTGTGTTTGTCTTTAAAATACAAACTAAAATGAATTCTCTCACAATCGTAATACTGGATTATAATTTATATAAATATTATGCAACTTGAATAAAAAAATTATTAGAATTTGAAATGTATTTGTTTATAAAGTAAAACGTAATATGAATTCAACGTGATTTCAACCAAATATCAACGTTTGTACAACCAAAATATTTCAACCAAATCTCAACCTAATTACAACCAATGTTCACTTTTGTTCAATGTTGATATTTGACGCTGAAGCTTCAACGTTGCATCAACTTTCATTTGCAACCAAAAATCAATCATAAATCAACCAAAAATTCAACCCATTTTCAACGTTTATTCAACGTTGAAAATTGATGTTGAAACAACGTTATGTTTCAACGTTGCCTCAACTTTCATATGCAACCAAAATTCAACGTTGATTCAACGTTGAAGTGCAACGTTGATTCAACGTTGAATCAACGTTGAAATGCCTGCTGGGTTAGGATATGGTGGACCGTGGATGACGTTGGAACGTGGTGTGAAACTCGCGTGACAACTATGATTGAACTTTCAGCCGTGTTTTGTTCATTGTTCATATGTAGATAAATTTATTGTTAATTTTTATAAATCTTGTTGTTTCTTGGTACACAGGAGGTCTTCCAAAATACTATTTATTTTGGTTTGTAAGTTCTAATTTAAAGAATCCAGCACAACTTGAGGTCAGTTGTGACACATTGAATAAATAAAATTTCATAGTCTCTTATTTTCCATAACAACACCAAGATGTTTTTCCGGTTTTATTTTAGAAACAGATATTTAGCCAATCAAAGTTGAGGTCTAATTCTTTGCCTGAGACTATAACATCCAATTCTATGGTACAGTTTTACTTTCCACTCGGCGAGCAGAGTTTTGACGCTGATTACAGAGATAAAAGAAAATAAAGACAAGCATGCCAGATATGGTTGTGTAGATAAATTATCATAGAAGACATAGGTATAAACAGTTTACCCGTGCATTTCCTCTGAAAGTGTAAATGAGCGCGATTCTAAGGGAGGGGGGTACTCGGTGTAAATTGGAGTTAGATACCTTGTGTCATTATTATAAACTATGGGTCAAAAATTTATTACAGAAACAAGTGCCTGTGCTAGAAATATATAAATTTATTCATAATAGTTTTAGAAATGACCCAAATATTAGCTCTACCAAATGCAGATTTTTCCTATATATATTTGAAAATGTTCAGGGACTCCAAAAGGTAGACAAATAAAACAAATAGATAAACTCCTGACCTATGACTTTAAGACCGAATCAAACCTGGTTAAAATTCTCTTACAAAAACTGCTTTTTTGTCACATAGAAGTAATACTGTAGATTCTTTATTTTGTAAACAAATTGTTTATCTTGATATAGCAAAATGGCCCCTTGATGTCAAATCACAAGGAAAATAAAAGAGTAACTAGTTCACCAATAATTTTATAGGAACTATAGCATCATAAGGATAGAAAGCAAGTCATTTTATTTCTCAAGTGGTGCTTTGTGCAAAAGTAAATAATAAATTATATATGCATATTAAGAACCTTCAATATTATAATGGGTATTCAGGCAGATGATTGTCCTAGTGTTTATTTTTGGGACATCAGCAACTTAAGGTTCACAAACCCTCTGCTCAATCATTTAAAATGTTGTTTGAACCTAAATGATTTTCCAAAAGATATGTATTTTTCTATTTTATAAGTAAAATCCAAAAAATTATAGCCTAGCTTGCGGGGCAAAATAGGACCAAAAAAATACACTTCAACTTAGCAAATCTGTTAAAGAAAAATAGATACTAGTATGTCATTAAGAGTTATCTCTCTTATTAGAGTATAAATAAACCTTAAGGGTTATGCAACATAACCTTATATAAATATACCTACTGATAAATGTTTTGTTTACTTCTGAATTTTGTATATTAAGATAAAATTGATGAAATGGATTAAAGGAAATAAATCATGAAATTTTATATCTTCCAATATTTCCATTTCCAATTTTGTTCTCTGTGATAACCCTTTGAAAGTTAGAGGGAGTTTATTTCTTGATAATTCTGTTGGAATGTAAATTAGGCAGGTCGATAGGTCAGGGGCTAAGAGGCCTAATATGCATGCAAATCTCGTGCACATCTGTCTCTGTGTCTGATGCTAAGGAGGCCAAATATGCATGTAAATCTCATGTGGCTGCCTTTGTGTTTGACTTCAGTGGGCGAGGACTATTGAAATTGGCATGGAAGTCCCCTTGTCATTTAAATCTATTAATCTACGTTTTTAAAGTCTTAATCTACAATTTTATTTCACAATGAAATGGAAATATAAGGAACCACTGTCTAGTTAGGAGAGTATGCAGGGGACATCAACAATAGTGGGAAACATGGGATAATTTTAGCGTAACGGGCTTCTCTCGTTATGCTAAAATTATCCCATGTTTCCCACTATTGTTGATGCCCTGGCATACTCTCCTAACTAGACAGTGATTCCTTAAGTATTTCCCAGTTTGGAGAAAATTTGCAGTATTAACCAGGACGGAAAAAGCAGTACTGTAAACCAACTTTTATTTGCGACGACTTTATTTCGCGATTTATCAGGGATAAATTAGTTTGCGACGATTAATTTTCGTGACTAAGCCTTTTTGCATCTGTTTTTAATAGACAAATATACTATAAGAACAGGTTCGCGGCGAGAAATATTCGCGATGACGAGGCTCTCGCGAACTTCACGAAAATTTCTCACACGCGAATAAAAGTTGGTTTACAGTATTTACCATGGGCAACTCCCACAACTGGTATTTCCTGGTGAACCCTGTCCAATATAGTATAAAGGATTTACACATACATGTACCTTCATTATTTTCAGGTGTTAGTTTTCTTCTTTCTCATTCACAGGGTCCATATTCTGTAATGATTGTTTCTTTGCTAAAAAAAACACAAATACAGGTAGAGTTAGTATAATGCTATTTTAAAATTATTTTTGAGCATGTTAAATTTTTAGAATGCATACAGAATCATTTAGATGACCAATCATTGCACTGCGATTCTTGAAAAAACAAAATTATTTCTCTTATATATTACTACGTTAAACTTCAATGACCCATTGTGGCCCCTCCCTAACCCTGGGGTCATGATTTGAATGAATCTGAATCTTCACTACATAAAAGACAAAAACATGGCGTTTTACCTAAGAAGAAGATTTTAAAAATATTTTTCCTGTGTTATCCTTTGTAAAACCTTGATTATTCCTTGTGACCCCAACCAACCTTGGGGTGTCACGGTTTTTAAAAAGTTTGAATTTACATGATGATGCTTTCATAAGTTTCATGTGACAGCAAAACCCAGTTATAACGAAGTCATTGGAACCTGTGAAATTACTTCACTATATCTGTAATTTGTTACAACTGTATAAGAAATTCATTAAATTTATATAGCTGGGGATCCAAGATCACTACGCTATATCCTTGAATTTGCAATATCCGTGTTTGCACTTAACAAGTTTTACTGTATCTTGTGCACTTGATCTTGAGCCTGTTGAGAAAAGGATTTTAAAATATTCTATGAATTATTTTAATTTTTTTTTACAACTACTACATGTATCTTTCCTTTCAAGAAAGCTTGACCCTTCATTTGAACAGACACAATGAGTAACCTCTCTTTGCTATTACCTACTTTTTCCTGGCATTAGTAACATTAGCATCAGCCATGTTATCTTTCAAAAATATTTTCAACAAAATAAAAAATTGACAAGTTATTTCATGTCATTCCTCTCTAACTTCACATCACATGCACCAAAAGGTTTTTGCTTGTGCACCAAAGACAAAAACAAATGTTTGATGTGCACCAAAACAAAAACAAATATCTGATTAAATTTATACGTTGTTCAATAAAAAAAAAACTAGAAATATATCCATAGGACATGAATGCCCCGCCAAGGATATATTAGTATTTAAGCAACATGAAAATTTCGTATGTGTATAAAATTTAATCAGTTTGGTTCAGGTAGGGGTTATAGTTACTAGGAAATAAAAATGTAGGTCAGATCCAGCATCCGAAGCAAGTCTGGTAGTGTCCATCCCTAGATGCATCATCCATGCAAGTTTGGTTCAGGCAGGGCTTATAGTTACTTGAGAATGAAAATATAGGTCAAATCCTGCATCCATAGCAAGTCTGGTAGTGTCCATCCCTAGCTGCATCATCCATGCAAGTTTGGTTCAGGTAGGGCTTATAGTTACTTGGGAAGGAAAATATAGGTCAGATCCAGCATCCGAAGCAAGTCTGGTAGTGTCCATCTCTATATGCATCATCCATGCAAGTTTGGTTCAGGCAGGGCTTATAGTTCCTTAGGAATGGACCTGCTCCAAAAACTTTCACCTGGTCACTCATCGGGAAAATGTAGGTCAGATCCAGCATCCGTAGCAAGTCTGGTAGTATTCATCCCTAGATGCACCGTCCAAGAAAGTTTGGATTGGGTAGGGCTTACAGTTCCTTGGAAATGGACCTGCTCCAAAAACTTTCACATGGTCACTTATCAGGAAAATGTAGGTCAGATCCAGCATCTGAAGCAAGTCTATTAGTGTTCATCCCTAGATGCATCATCCGTGCAAGTTTGGATTCGGTAGGGCTTCTAGTTCCTTGGAAATGGACCTGCTCCAAAAACTTTAACCTGGTCACTTATCTGGAAAATGTAGGTCAGATCCAGCATCCAAAGCAAGTCTGGTAGTGTTCATCCCTAGATGCATCATCCGTGCAAGTTTGTATCAACATGTGAAGTTTGATAACACCATCTTGAATGGTATGTTCAAATCTGAGCTAAACACTGATTTAAGGAAAGTGAGGTCAAGGTTAAAGGAAAGGTTAGGGTCAAAAAATGTTGATGCAGTTGCATAGCACTCATCAATATCTATCAGCATATGAAGTTTGATGAAAATATCTTGGATAGTTTCTTTGAAACTAAGCTTTGAACAGAGCTAAACGCAAAGTGTAAAGACGGAAGGACAGAAGACGGACATGACAAACACTATATGCCCCGGCCATATTCATGGTGGGGCATAAAAATGTTCAAAGTCTTGTGAAAATTGAGAAAAGTGCTTATTTAATTATAAAAATTTTACAAATAAACCATGCATGTAAATAAAATCACAAAATAAGGTGTAAAATGCTGTTTATCTCCACCTCCTCACCAATTCTCCATTGGTGTCAGTGCATTCCATCTAGTTTTACATAATGAGATCCCAATAAGCGAGTTTAAGGTACATTGATACTCTGGTAAGAGAGATAACTCTGAATGACACAAATGTCTATTATTCCCTTATAAATTTGTCAAGTTGAAGTGCCTTTCTTGTCAAATTTTGCCCCGCAAGCCATGTTATAATTGTTTGTATTTTATTCATCATATACATTTCCTTTGGAAAATCATAAAAGTAAAAGAAAAAATTTATATGAGTGAGCAGAAGGTTTATGAACCTTAAAGATTGCATGCCTCCTATGATAGTCACAAAAAATATCCACATCAGCATTAAAGTGGGACAGGTGGACCAGACAAAATTTTCAGTTACTACAACTGAGATATGACCACTTATCAAAATCTGTATCTATATGCTTTTTTGTGTACTTTCAATTTTTTCAGTTTTATTTTCTGATTCATTTGTTCATATACAATATCAATTTCGTTTTCAGAATTAAATTTTTACGATGCTTTATTCGCATTTTTTGATTGAAAGTTTTCCAGTAAAAATTAAGTAACATAATTTATTTAACATATTTAATACAGTTAATCATAGTAATCAAAGCATTCATAAACGACTTTATGCTGCAATGGCTAACATTTGCCCACCGAGTCAAACATTGACAGAGAAATATATAATTAGGGCTTTTCGACTTTGTCAAAAAGACCTATTGTTTTCGTCTTGATTATTATTATTATTATTATACTGAACACTTCTATCGTTCAGCATTCAGGGAGTACCTTTGAAAATAGGTATTTTATTTTATAATCACTAAATGGCAAATGTAAATCTCACGTGCGTGAAACATGAAGAACTTCCGGTATAGTCACTTCCGGTTTCTACTAAAGGAAAACTAAAACTTCTAAAGAAGTTGATAACATTTTTAATTTCAATGTCTAGACTCCCAAATTTAAGATCTGAGTTTTATAAACCTAATCCAAGGAAAAAGTGAGCGTAGGTGAATTTTGACCACATATTTTTCGAGATATAAGATTTCAAACATTGAAGAAGGGGACCAAAAATTATTTTCGGCATATACATATGTTAGAACTTATAAGTAGAACATGTACTGTAAGTTTCATATGTATCAGAAGAGAACTTCCGGTTTTATGACCCTTAAAAGTTTTATTTTAAAATGAAATTAATCGTGGTGCATTTTCTCCTAAAGTATTCAAGATTTCCCTGCAATATTTTGTATACAGAATGATTCTGATACACTTCTGACATCATTAAAGAATGAAATTAAAATTTTGGAAAATAAGGGATTTCTAAGGGCCAACTTTGAAAACAGACCTTTCCCTGTAACTTTTTTTATTTTTCAATGAATTTTCAAATAGTTTTCAGATTTGACTTTAACATAAAGAGGACAGTCTAAAAATTATGGTCCGTGGGGTCACTTTTTGACCCCTTATAGGACTTTTAGAGACTTGAAATATTGTATTTTTAAGTCTTTTAAAAAATGATGGTGTAAGAGTTATCTTTCTTTGTCAACCTGTTTGAAGTCTAATATGCTCTCGATGTTTTAATTTTGATATGCATATGAAGAGTACTTCCGGTTTTATGAGTCCTTTAAATTATCCTATGGAGATTTCTATGTTAAATTTGAAATCACGTTTGTTCCATTATTTCAAAAGGGAAATTAAACAAGCAAATGTTGTTATCATTCACATGTACAATGACTCTAGCATTTGACATTACATGAGGTATAAAGAGTACAGTTTAAAAATTATGTGCCGTGGGGTCACTTTTTAACCCCTTATAGGAGTTTTAGTGGATAGAAAAAGAGTACATTTTCGAATCTATTTAATAACCACGAAAGAGTTATGTCTCTTTGAGTAGACACTGATGTACAAAGAGAATTGTTATGTTTCCAATCCAATGTTAATCTCAAAAGAACTTTTGCAATATTGTATTATAAGATTTTTTTTTTAATTGAAAAATATTGATTTTTATTTTAAGATTATTTATATTAAGGGGTCGAAAAGCCCTCCGTTTTTGTTGAACGACAAAAATAAGGTCTAGTTATATATATTTATGTTTTAAAACAGGAATATTTTCATAAGCCATGACATCTTATACTTGTACTTGATATGATGTCAGGAAAATGACGTAAGTTTAAATTTTCCATGATTTTTACAGAAAATAGTGTCTATTAATTACGTCAATATTTTTTGCAAAAGTCAAAGACTGCAGGTCTACTCAAGCTCAATATTTTGATATTATGTGTATTATTGTGTAGAATGATAATATCAATGAAATATGTAAATAATGTTCCTGTGCAGACCTGCACCCTAAAGTTTTATAGTAAAAATTATTATCCTTCAGAATTATACAGTCAATCTGATTGGTTAAGAGCAGGGCACATGCAGGGAGACAACTTGTGATGTCTCCCTCACACGCAGGGTGACAACAGTTATCTCCCTTTCGACAGTGATAGTTAGCTCAGGCGGGATAACTCTGATCAAGTTGTTAGAATTAATGAATGGGATCAGTATACAGATGATTTTAAAAAAGTGTCGTCTGTTGACATGGCGTCGGAAGAGTGTAAGCAGTTTGCTCGAAATAGTGAGAATGATATTCAAAGTATTTTAAATGACAAGGATTCAAACAACACGAAACGAGTGACTAAAGCAGCATTATCTGTCCTACTTCAGTAATTTGTGAAAACCACAAGTCTGCAAACCTTGACTTGTTTTC